CACACCCTTGGTTAAGTTAACGGAAATTGTCGAGTTTAACCAAAAGTCGACACACCTTTGGTTAAGTTAACGGATATTGTCAAAGTTTAACTTGTCGAACACCCTTGGTTAACCCAATATCATTGGTTTAAGTTAACCGAGGTTGTCACACCCTTGATTCGCCACCTTTAGCTCACACACAAGATTCATAACCCCAAATCTTAATGAGAGACAGTAAGAGAATGGAAGAGACAAAGAAAAAGCTAGTTTCAATGAAGCATTTCCTTCAAAGACTTCTACCAAAGTCGCAACCTTCACCATCTTCTTCTCCTTCAACCCCGAAACACCTCCGGTAATAGTCCATCCCTCCGGTGTGGTTGTTCCTGCACACAATGTCGTTGACTGGCATGAGAAAGCAATCGGATTTTGCCTTTCATGGGCTGCTGGAATTGCACTTCTATCGCTCCAAATTCACGCTCCACTCCCTCTAAGCTTCCACTTTCCCTCTCACGCCACCGTTATTGCACTCACCCTGTTCTTTATCTCAAAGTTCATGTATCCCAAGGCACCAGAGCGAGCCCAATTGCTAGAGAATATAGGTGCTCTCTTTGGTTTCACAGCCTTCTTTTTCGCCATCACCATACCTTTCCGACTCTACATTAAGCTTATTTACTGGGCCATCTATGCTCTTGGTCTGCTCGCCATTTTCATCTATATCCGCCTTTAAAACCTATTCGGCGTCTACTAAAATAAGTTAATTCGTTTCACGAATTGCCACAATCTGTGTCTTTGTTGTTATTATTAGTTGCAGAATGCAGAGCAGAGGTATGAGTCATTTTCAAATTGTAATTGTTGGTTGTAAGCTCTGATGGAGCATGCCATCTCAAGTCGATCCCTTTATGAATAAATTGCATCTTATAGAATCTTGAAATTGTTGCATGGTGGAATTACTTTCAATCACTCTACGAATATTTCTTGTAGTCAATTAGTCTAAATCACCACCCACTTGCATGTTGGTTGGTTGAATTAGTTAAGTATTTCTATGTACTTATTATTGCAATGGATATTTCTCAAAAATATTAGTAATAAACTAAAAGAAATCTCTCAAATGTGAAACTTACATTAATCCGTAGATACCCTTTCAGATGTGGGCCGGAGTGACTATGGGTTAATTTCACAAAAATTCCCGTGTAATATAAATTTATGACATATTACCACTTTTGCACTAACAAACAATTCCTTCAACTTAAAAAATAATGTTAATTTGTTATGGAACTATTAGTTACATGGTGAAATAACAATCTAGCGGAGACACTTTTGAAACAAAAATCTTTGTTCATGTCCAAATCTTGGATTTGTAATGGAGAGCGGCACACGAAAGTTCTGATTACTCTATCCACGAACTTAGTTCTAGCTCGAATGGTTGCCAATATAAATTATTGGCCTTCTGGACGAAATTTATAATTAGAAAATTGGGAAAGAAAAATCTTTGTTCATGTCCAAATCTTGGATTTGTAATGGAGAGCGGCACATGAAAGCTCTGATTCCATATTGCGCCTTAATCTTCTCCGAGTCCTATGAAAGAATTTCTACCAAGAAATTTTGTTTCCTTTTCTATTTAGGGAACTCTGTATTTATTCACGTCTCTTGTACAAAATTGTAAATGAATGAATATTTTTCCTTTCCCAATTTTCTAATATGGTATCAGAGCATTAGGTATTTTTTTTCTTTTCAAAATCTCGTTTGCCCTTATGGCAACGATTCCTTCCAATTCTGGGGAGCAGCAACAAGCTTCTTCTCAAGTTACGGCCACTTCTTCTTCTCAGATTAGTGACCCTTTTCAAAATTCTTATGTTTTACACCATTCAAACAATCCTACTGTTGTTCTCGTCTCTCCTCTTCTTAATGGAGATAACTACAATACACGGTTCCGCGCGATGTGTATGGCCTTACGTGCAAAAAATAAGCTTGGATTTGTTGATGGTACAATTCCTATGCCAGACCCATCTTCTTCAACCTATGAGCAATGGATTCGAGTGAATGATATGGTAATCTCCTAGATACTTCACTCGATGGTGCCAGAACTTGCTGCGAGTATTATTTATTCTGAGTCTGGTAAAGAAATTTGGAGCGATTTGAAGGAGCGTTTTTCTCAGCCTAATAGTATTAAGATTTTTGAAATCAAGCGGGGTATCTCTGAATGCAAACAAAATAATCTTTCTGCGACTGCTTATTATACTCGATTGAAGGCTCTCTGGGATGAACTAGCATCGTATGTGATGCTTCCTACTTGCTCATGTGGTGCAGCCAAAGCCATAAATGATTTTCTTCTTCAAGATCGTGTGATGCAATTTTTGCAGGGACTCCATGAATCATATACACAATTTCGGAGTCAAATCTTATTACGGGAACCATAACCGCCTGTGAATAAGATTTATTTATTGTTACTACAGGAAGAAAAACAACGCTCTCTTTCGTTACACACTCTTAATCTCTATGATGCTTCAGCTTTAGCCACATCTCCTACACCAAATCAGACTACACGTCCCACTACCTCAACCTACAGTCGTGGCAGAGGTACGGGTCGTGGTAACAATCGTGGGGGGTCAAGAGCACGATCACATTGTGACCACTGTGGTCGTGACGGTTATACTATTGCAACTTGCTACAAATTACATGGGTTCCCACCACGTTCTAACGATGGTCCTGGGACATCTCGTCCTTTGGCACATGGGTTTACTACTTCATCTGACCAATCCCAACCTCCCTTTATATCTCCATCTCCTGTTATCACACCAGCACCTCAAAGCAACAACACACCAACACCTCAAAGCAACAATTCTCCATCTTTAGCATCACCATCAATTTCGCAGGAGTAATACAATCAAATTTTGGCAATTTTGCAACAAAGTAGACATGACCATTCTACAAATTTAACTGGTATTGCCCTCACATCTCTTTTTAATAATTCTTGGATTATTGACAGTGGGGCTACAAATCACATGTGTTCCTCACCACATTTTTTCCAGTCCTTTACTAAAAATTCATCTTTGTCTCGAGTACAGTTACCTGAAGGCTCTAATGCGTCAATTACGCAAACTGGCAGTGTTTGAGTTAATCCTTCCTTTCGTTTAGATAATGTTTTCCTTGTTCCCTCATTTAAGATTTAAGTTCAATTTGATGTCAGTTTGTCAAATAACAAAATCTCTTTATTGTGCTATTATTTTTCTTCCTGACCCTTGCATTTTTCAGGACCTGTCCTCGAGGAGAACGATTGCAGTGGGTAACTGCTGGAATGGTCTTTATTATCTATCCCAACCTAGTAGTCTTTATGCAACAGTGAAACCCACCTTTGATGTTTGGCATTGGCAATTGGGACACCCTTCAAATGATCGTTTAGTTTTAATTTCTGCTTTAGACTCTTCTGTCACTGTTTCCAATAAATCACTCTGTGATGTATGTCCTTTAGCAAAACATACAAGAACTCCTTTTCCGTTAAGTAATACAAAAACAAAATTTCCTTTTGAATTGGTTCATTGTGATATTTGGGGTGCTTTTCCTATTCCTAGTATTTCAACTGCACATTATTTTTTGACTATTATTGATGATTTTAGTCGTTGCACTTAGTTGTTTTTAATGAAGTACAAATCTGAAACTCAATCACATTTAAAATCCTTCATTGCTATGGTTGCCAATCAATATCATTCTCGAGTCAAAAGAGTCGAGACCAATAATCTTGTGGGGTTCTTATCGAAAGAGTTAAAAAATATACTTTCTGTTAAGTCTATTTGAACTGATAACGGGACATAATTTTTATCACATGAATTGCAGAGTTATTTTGAGTCCCGTGGGATTGTTCACCAGTGTAGTTGTGTTGCAACTCCACAACAAAATGGTGTTGTGGAGCGAAAGCATTGACATCTTCTTAATGTGGCGCGTGCTCTTCGTTTCCAAAGCAACTTACCTCTTTCTTTTTGGAGTGAGTGTGTTCTTACAGCTAGCTATTTAATAAACAAGATTCCTTCATCGGTTTTAAATGGAAAAACTCCATATGAGGTATTATCAGGAGCACCTCCTTTGTACTCTCATCTTCGAGTTTTCGGTGCCTCTGCTTTGGTCATAATCTCTCCCCACAAAGGCATAAATTTGATGTACGCTCCAAACCTGGCATTTTTGTGGGATATCCTTTTGGTCAAAAGGGATATAAAATATTTGACATAACCACTCAAAAAATTTATATCTCTAGAGACATTCTATTTTATGAAAATGTTTTTTCCAGTTTTGCCTTTGCCAATTTCAGATAATGGTGTCATTATCATTTGACAATTTTGCACCATTTCCTTCTTGTTTCGACAACTCAGTTCCTTGATTGATTTTTCCCAATATAGTTCAACCAACACTCGAGGAACCTTCCTCACACCATGAGAATGATCCTAACTCTCTATGTCAAACACGACCAAGTCGTGATCGCCGAACCCCACTCTACTTGCAGGATTATATTTGTAAAAATGTGACCTCAGCAGATTGCCCGCAACAATCAACTTCTCATGGGTCAGTTACACTTTATCCTCTTTCACAAGTTCTTTCATATAATCATTTGTCTTCTTCACATTCTGCTTTTCTTAATTCTCTTTATTCATGTGTTGAGCCAACATCTTTCTCACAAGCTATTAAGATCCCAGAATGGCGAGAGGCTATAGAGGCAAAAATTAAATCGTTGGAGGAAAATGACACTTGGAAAGTTACAACTCTGCCTTCTACCAAAAAAACAAATTGGTTGCAAATGGGTTTACAAAATCAAGTATCGGTCAGATGGGACTATTGAGAGATATAAAGCTCGCCTCGTAGCCAAAGGATTTACACAAACTGAAGGCATTGATTATAATGAAACATTTGCCCCTGTTGCAAAAATGATCACTGTCCGATGTTTTTTTTGCCATTACTTCCATCAAAGGGTGGTCTTTACATCAACTTGATATAATAATGTTTTTCTTCATGGAGACTTAAATGAAGAAGTATATATGAAAATTCCTCCAGGTTATCACAGGCAGGGGGAGAATCGAGTTTGTCGATTGAACAAGTCTTTATATAGGCTCAAACAAGCGAGCTGCAATTGGTTCGCTAAATTTTCTTAATCTTTGTGCTTTGCCGACTACTCTTAGTCTAGAGCTGATTATTCCTTATTTTTTAAACATGATGAGTATCGTGGTTCTACATTTGATTTAGTCTATGTTGATGATATTTTAATTGGCGGTGATAACATAGATGAAATTAAAGCTCTAAAGGCTACGTTGAATGCTCAGTTCCGTATCAAGGATCTTGGGTTTCCAAAATATTTTCTTGGTATTGAGATTGCTCGTTCCTCACGTGGTATTCTTCTTTATCAAAGGAAGTACAGCTTGGACATTTTGACTGACATGGGTATGTTGGGTTGTCGATCTGCTCGCACACCTATGGAACAAAATCTCAAGTTGAGTGACGTTGAGGGAAATCCCTTGTCTGATCCAATCATTTATCGCCAGCTTATAGGCCACCTTATTTATTTGACGATTACATGCCCAGATATTCTTTTGTTGTGAATATCCTCAGTCAATTTATGCAGGCTCCACCGAAACCTCATTACGATGCTGCTCTACGTCTTTTACATTATCTGAAAGGCTGTCCTGGTAAGGGTATTTTATTGTCTTCTACGAGTTCTCTTCAACTTATAGCTTATGCTGACTCTGATTGGGCTAGTTGTCCAATTACACGCCGGCCTACAAATGGATATTGTAGTTTTCTTGGTTCAAGTCCGATCTCTTAGAGGACTAAAAAACAACATGTTGTTTCACGTTCATCACTGAAGCTGAATATCGTGCCATGGCTCAAGCAACATGTGAGCTCCAGTGGCTAACTTTTCTTTTGGCTAATTTTGGGGCCACTTCACCAACATCTACTTTATTTTGTGATAATCAAGCCGCTCTTCATATTGATGCCAACCCTGTCTTTCATGAGCGCATAAAGCACATTGAATTGGATTGTCATTTCATTCGTGAAAAAATTCAGTGTGGATTGATTCGAACAGCTTATTTACATTCATCCAAGCAGCTTGCTGATGCCTTTACGAAGCCATTAGCAAGTGAACATTTTCAACGTCTTCTTTGCAAGTTGGTCATGATTGAATTTCGCCTTAATCTTCTCTGAGTCCTACGAAAGAATTTCCACCAAGAAATTTTGTTTCCTTTTCTATTTAGGGAACTCTGTATTTATTCACGTCTCTTATACAAAATTGTAAATGAATGATATTTTTTCTTTCCCAATTTTCTAATAAGGTCCGATTAAGAATATATATTTATATATATGGGATCTAATTCTCCATATATATATTATAAAAAATAAAAAAATAATAAAAAAAAAAAAATTCATTCATTTACAATAGAGTTCCCTAAATAGAAAAGGAAACAAAATTTCTTGGTGGAAATTCTTTCGTTGGACTCAGAGAAGATTAAGGTGCAATATTTATAAAGTTTTTATTGATGATTAGGGCTCCTTTTGTTTGGATGTAAATTATTTTTCAAAAAATATAATTTTTATTTTCTGGTATTTGGTTGTCGTAAAATATTTACGATAGAAAAATATATTAAAATTTTACAAAAATAATTTATTTATTAATTTTTGATAAGTTATTTTATATATTCTGCCCAAAGGACTCGACTTCAATCTCGACCTAAACTTTTACAAAACATCGAAAAGTACAAATAAAAAAATATTTTACCTAAAAAATGAAAATATTTTCTAAAATAAATATTTTACATCGGAACAAACGGAGCCTAGATTTTAAACGTGTTACAATTTCAGTATATATAGACCAACCAAAAACATAGTTTATCCTAGTGTTGTAACTCAAGTGGGCCAACCAAAACTCAATTATGAAAAAAAAAAATGTTAAAAAAAAATTATTTTAATTACTTTACTATAATACTCCTCTGTACTCGGTATTTATATAACAAAACAGAACACAAAAAAATAAATAAATAAATAAATAATATGAAGCGGCAGTTTTGGTGGGCAGGTATGAAAAAGGACATTGCTCTTTTTGTCTCCCGATGTAGTACTTGTCAGATGGTCAAGATTGATCATCAAAGGCCGCCAGGAGCTCTACAGCCACTACCGATACCGGAGTGGAAATGGGAGAGCATTTCTATGGATTTTGTGGAAGGATTGCCAAATTCTTTCGAGGGGCATAATTCCATATGGGTCATTGTGGATAGGTTGACCAAGTCAGCTCATTTCTTACCTATTTGCACTGACTACACTTCGGAGCAGTTGGCAAGGCTTTACATTTCAGAGATTGTGAAGTTGCATGGCATTCCGTTGTCTATTATATCCGACAGGGATTCGAGCTTTGTGTCAGGATTCTGGAAGAGTTTTCAGCAGGCTTTGGGTACAGAGTTGCATCTTAGCACTGCTTATCATCCTCAGACTGATAGACAGACTGAGAGGGTGAACCAGATTATGGAGGCTATGCTTTGGTCCTGTGTTCTTGACTTCAAGGGCCATTGGGAGGATTACTTACCACTTATGGAGTTTGCTTATAATAATAGTTTCCAAAAGACTATTGGGATGGCACCATTTAAGGCGTTATACGGCCGATCGTATCGATCGCCTTTTTGTTGGATGGAGGTTGGTGAGAGCAGATTCTTAGGTCCTAAGTTCATCAAGGATACTTTTGAGAAGATTGCTCTTATTAGAGATCGCATGCGTACTACTCAAAGTAGGCAGAAGAGTTATGCGGATCGTAGCACACATGCTTTGGAGTTTCAGGTTGGGGATTAGGTGCTACTCAAAGTGTCGCCTATGAAGGGTGTAATGCGCTTTGGAAAGAAAGGGAAGTTGTCACCACGATTTGTCGGTCTATTCATGATTACGGATCGAGTTGGAGCTATCGCTTATCGGTTGGCACTTTCAGATAATTTGGATCATGTCCATAATGTGTTCTATGTTTCCATGTTGCGAAAATTTCTACGAGATGAGGATCAGTATCAGCATATCGATGTTGGGGAGATTGAGTTGCAGCCGGATGTAACTTATCTGAAGCCACCATGTCGTATTGTCGATCGTCGGGATCAAATCCTTCGTAATAAGGTTATCCCTTTGGTTCGTGTTCAATGGAGTCATCACAATGAGGCTGAGTCTACTTGGGAACAGGAGGATGTCGTTAGTTCGCAGTTTCCTGAAATTTTGGAAGAAGGTAAGAGCGAATTCTGAGGACGGAATTCCTTTTGTTAGGGGAGAAGAATGTAATACCCCTAATTTCAAAAGGATAGTCCTGGTATTTTAATTTATTATTTTTATTGTTTAAATTGTATTTTTAAATTGTTGAAGTGTATATGTGTTAATTTTTAAATTATTAGTTATTTAATTTAATTAGTGTGCTTTAATTGAGTAACTAATTGTTTTAATTTAATTGGTTTAATTATTTAAGTGGTGTTAATTATTTAATTGGTTTAATTATTTAATTTTTTTTGTTTTAATGCATTATTTAATTAAATTTACTTAGTTTTAACGTGCATACATATAGGTTATTTTGTATTAGGTTTTCAATTCAGCCGTCATAGTTTTAACCTAGTTTTTCTATGGGCCAAGTGGATTATGTTTAGGGTTTAATTGAACCTAAGGTTAGTGGCCTATAAATATTCAAGTAATATTCTGACTAGGGTTTTAGAAAAACTATTACGATATAGTAAGGGCTGAGGGAATTGGAGACGGCTGGGAAGGAAAACAGTGAGCCAACAGAGAGAGTTTCGCTGGAAAACTTAGACGAACGTCGGTGTAAGCCAAGTTCTATCCTTACTCTCTCCCATAGGTTTCGTGTTCTTTGCATCCCTGAATAATTCTAGGGTTGATTGAATCAATAAAACATTATCTGTTTATGCTAGAACTTGAATTAAAACTGTATGGTTGCATGCTTGCTTAAACTGCTAAAAAGGTGTTGTTTGCTTGCATAATTCTCTGTTTAAAACCCATGTATGTAATGTAGTTAAGACTTAAACATGGACTGGAATACTCTGGGATTAGATTACAGCATCTGGGAACCATCGCAGTAGGACAGAGAAGTTACAGAAGTCGTCTAAGGAAGAGGGAAAACAAAGAAACGCGACAGAGAGGGAGAGAGCCGGCTCTCCCATGGAGAAAGCCGGCTCCCTTGGAATTAGAAGCGGCTCCCAAGTGGGGGAGCCGGCTCTAAGGTCTAAAGGAGGTGGCTCCAATTTTTTGAGACATCTCATTCCTCAGTTTTTGTGATTTTCTTCGTTTCCAGTCAGTTTGGCATGCAATGTGTAATACCCCTAATTTTAAAAAGGATATTCCTCGTATTTAATGGTATTTAATTTATTATTTAAGTGCATTTTATTTGATTATGTGTCATTATTTTTTTTATTAGGTGCTTAATTGTTTTCTTTTGTGGTAATTTAATTTATTTCTTTTGTGGTGATTTAATTTATTTAAATGATATTTATTTTTAGTTATTTGGTTTGAATTACTTGTTAGTGTTTTAATTATTTAAGTGGCATTAATGGTTTAAGTGTAATTGGTTTAGTTATTTGATTGGAATTACTTGTTAGTATTTTAATTATGTAATTGGCATTAATGGTTTAAGTGTAATTGGTTTAATTATTCTATGTGTGTCTTATTTTATGTGTGTCTTATTTGGGTTTAATTGGGTTTACTAATGATTATTTTGTTCAATTAGATTATTTGTTAAGTATTTAATGGTGAATAGGGTAATTAGGTAAATACATCTAACTAGGGTTTTAATTACAGTATAAATTAGGGTTTTATATTATAGCCGTCGTTAGGTTTCTACGTTAATTGGATGGGCCGGTTAGGATTGTGAGTTGGACTTAAATGAACCTAGGGTTTAAGAAAACTCTATAAGTATAAGATAGACGTCTGTGTAGGGTTTTTTTTAAACAAAGCACACGTTTTGTGGAAGTGGAGAAGGAAAAACGCAGTTTTTCACATTCTGCCAAGGTTTGATCAAAGCTCCGATTCCGCTTCGTCCGTGGTCCGATCGAGCTGAATTTTGGAGGAGAGGTTCACGACCCAGTGACGTACAATCTGAACGGTGGAGATCAGAGTTTGACCTCGGGAACAATGATTCGTACCCATGAACAGTAACTGGGTCGCACAGGTTTTTTTTTTCCATTCTGCCCAGATTTCATCAAACACCCGATTCTGCTTCGTCCGTGGTCCGATCGAGCTGAAATTTGGAGAATAGGTTCATGACTCAGTATCGCACAATCTGAACGGTGGAGATCAGATTTTGAGTTCGGGAATAGTGTTTCGTACCCATGAACAGTAACCGAGTTTTGGAACTTGCCGGGATTTTTTAAGAAGACGACGTTGAAACTTTGAACAAAAGTTTCTGAGGCAAGATTCTATCCTTACTCTTTCCCTTAGGCTTCATACTCTTTGCACTCTTAAATGATTTCAGGATTAATGAAGATTAAACCAAACTAAAATGATATCTGTTTTGCTATGAAACTGGTAGTTACAGTAGTGTTGTATGCTTGTTCAACCTAAACTAAGCATGTTTGTGGATGCATTGTGGTTCTGTGGTTCACGTTTTTCCTTACCACTGCTAGTATAAATTATTGGAAGGATGGGTCTAGATGATAGCTATCTTAACTTCTGTAATAGTAACTGTTGGAACTTAAATACTAGGAGGATTTGAGTTTAACACTAGATCGGTTTTGTGGAACACTATAATTTGAGCATGTCTACATACATACTGTGAATATTATTTTGATGCTTACATTATCA